TTGTCTCTTCTTCTTGACAAAATAATTAAGGAGGAAGGCCACACCAACTTTTTTATTTTATAGATCTCTATGTCAACCTTTTTAAACAGTGGATTCAGCACTGAAAGGCCGACATTAGCTCTTATTTATTTTATATGAATTTTTTATTATTTTTTCAAAGAAAATTAAAAAATTATTAACATCCAAATTAGATGCTTTCTTGTAAAAGTTTTGCTATAAATGAATGCATCGCGTGAATACCTAATAAAAAATGAAAAGAAAAGCTGTATTGTATATAATTCCATATACGACAGCAAACTGCTTACTGCCAACTGCTAAATGCTTACTGCCAACTGCCAGCTGCTCACTGCCAACTGCCGCACATTTTGAATAAATTTTCATATTTATATTGATAGTCATGTGAACAATCAGAAAGCAGGCGCTGATCCAGTTTTTTTTTTCGAGAGGGTCACACAGGTAGAAAAAGTTGTTGGTGTTGGAGGGTTTCTTATGCTTTTGTCTATATGAGATTTTTTATACCAACTGATCTCGTATCCGCGTTTTCTGGAGGGGGGGGGGGGCTTTTAGTTGGTTTAGTTTATACATTATATGAATTTCAGTTGGAATTAGTTTGTAGATTAAATACCTTAACAAAGGGTGATTCGGACCCACCCCCTCTCTCGCTCTATCTCTCTTTCTCTCTCTCTCTCGATAGATCTGTGCATATAAAACATAACCCATTTTGTAAAAACAAAAAGATATAAATCTTTGAGAAAAATGTTCAAATATGTTCACTATAGAAATTAACGGAAAATTGAAATTCATTTCCAAAATATCTCCCCTGTGAAACAACACAAATCCCTTTTTTAAGTTTTTATCCTTAAGCTTTCCAAAGACTTTATTGTCTCCTCGGGGATGGGGGGAGGTAAAGATTTAAAACAGGAAATAAGTCATTTTATAAAATAACAAATAAATATATACATGTACTTTATCAATCTCATATGTTGAATTTTACATTAATTAAAACATACAGTGATATTAAGGAGTCGTTTATCCATTTTCATTAGTATTTGAAAATCTAATGATATGTTCACTCTGATTTCAATTGATAAAACTTATCCCCCCTTATTTAAGGAGTTGTAAATAAGAACAATTAACTTTTTGTCAATGGTTTTTAGAATAAGTATTTAATACAAATAATACTAATGAATTTTTCTTTGCATTCAAACAAGTTTTTAAAAAGTTGGACGGAAATCGAAAATAATGTGCGTAGTTGTTACAATTATAAGAAAATTTGGAGGATGTAGGAATTTTAAATCTAAAAGTATGCTGAAAAATCACCAGATTTTCAAATACTCACGAAAATGGATTAAATGATCAATATGTATGTTTTATCTCTTTGTGTTATAACGTTTCACATCTAAGATCTAAGGGGGCGGGGCAGACCACCCATTTATAATTTGTACAGTCATTTTATGCTGAAATCACACCATCTAAGACAGACCTTTACCCCCCCCCCCCAGCAAAATAATAAAAAAAAAAAATACGCGGATCCTCATTAAGTTAATTTGTATGAAAAGTCATAGATATGAAGCATAACACCCCCTCCCCCACCACCACCCCACATACTGCCAAAAAAAAAATTTTCGCGTTTAAGAAAGGAGTTAACGCTTTTTTTCTTGTCAAGAAATTTCTGAGTTTGAATTTATTTTTCTGGGTGGATCCCTTCTGGAAAAAATCCTGAATCAGGCCTATTTATTTTTTGACAATTCAAATAAATATCAACGTAAATAAGAAAATTTATTTAAATATGTGTGGCAGTTACCAGTAAGCAGCTGACAGTTGGCAGTAAGCAGTGAGCAGTTGACAGTAAGCAGTTGGCTGTTGTATATGTATTTCTTTAGTATATATATTGAAAATTTTTAAATAAAAAAATGTTAATGAAAATAAAACACTTAAATTGTGAATATTTTTAAAGCTTGTAGTAAAAATATTCTTAAAACCAGTAACAGCTCGGGAAAACATGTTAATAATATTTATAAAAGAAATTGATTGGAAATGGCCAAATTTTAAAGAAGTTATTTTCCTGTAATGTTGGCCAGTCCCGATCAAAATTAAACCGATCCCAAGCATAATTGTACAATTATTGGAAATAAATACATTTCCCAAAAAACACTACTCTGACTAGGCGTAATAAGGGCTAAACATTTATTGAACCTGACAATAAAATAGATTACTTCATTGTAAATAGATAAAGAGGCAGTAAATAAGTATTTTATTCATTTTGTGTTAATTTTGATCGGGATCAGTTTAATTTTGATCGGGTTAGGTATAAATATTTTTAAAAATTAATTTCTCTAAAATTTCACAATTTCGTTTCTATTTCTTTTTAAAATATAATTGACAAACATGTTCTCCTCTGTTATAACTAGTTTAATTGTGTTTTTAACCATAGGTTTAAAAAATATTTACAAATTAGGTGTTTTATTTTCATAAATTATTTTTAACAAAAAAAATTTAAGAGTCTAACCCAGTTTTCTTTATATATTTTATTAGATATTCATATGATGCATTCATTTACAGAAAAAAATTAACTCGAAAACAACTTATTTGGATATAATTTTTTTTTCATTTTCTATGAAAAAATACAAAAAAAATTAATATGAAATAAGAAAGAGCTAAATTTGGCCTTTCACTGCTGAAAACATTGTTTAAAAAGGATGACTCAAAGATCTATAAAATAAAAAGTTGGTGTGGCATTCCACCTTAAATATATACATACTGCCTCAGTGCCTGCCAAATGATATTGAAAATACAGTAATGGGGGCAATTTACACGTGAGGGTAATTAGCTTGTAGAATAAACAAAATTCGTAAAATGTTTTCAGAAAAAAAATTTGTTTACGTGTTGATTTATTTTTTAAGAAAAGGATTTTTGCGAATGCAATACAGGCGTTAATTTGCTAAAATATTATCTACAGTAAAAATTTCAACATTTACGGTATACCCTTTTGCTTAGATCAGAAAATTGTCATTACCATGTACTTTCAAGTAATTTTATTGCTTGTTGAATGTTTAATACCAGAAAAATGACATGTTTGATTGCATAGAGGTCAAATAATTGATGTAAGCATTTTTTGTCAAAAGTTCCACTTTTGATATGGAGTGACTAATCACTTAATGCAAATCCTACGTCGTGTGACATCATATCTAGAAAATGAGGTGAGACTCTTCTGGGTGCTAGATTTATCAATTTAATTGAAATTTTTCTCGTTCTTTAAGACTTTTTTAAAATTAGAAAGAAAATAAAATAAAAGCATTTTTTTTTATTCAATGAAATCAAAAGTAATCCGATAATAGTAGTAGTATTCAATATTCGATACCATTTTAAATAAAAAGTTAAAAATATATAAATTATTATTTTCTGGAAGACTTTAGGCAATTTGCATAGTTATTATATTTTGTCTGCTATATAAAAAAAAACCCAAAATTCATGTCTGATTTTCTTCATCTTTCATCGAAACTGACATGAAATAAGTTATATTCTTTTCTTGAATTTGCCTAAGATTAAGCGCCGATACACTATGACATGTATTTTAATAATATATAGATCTAGTTATTTATGAGAATAGACGAAGAATGATCTGTTAAAATTGCAAATTGTCGGCGATGAAATGAAATGACTTTTTTTCATCCTATTCTGCTAATTAGTCAAGTAATGTGAATAATAATAATTTTCCCCTGAAATATGATCTTTTGGATAATGATTTACATTTTTAAAAGTATTCATAAATATTCACACTGTAGCCACAAATAAAAAAATTAATGATTAAATATGTGTAAGTAAAAAAGTTGTTTTTTTTTAAAGGAGCTGTGATAAATAAAGTATCGTTCATTAGTTTGAGGGGAAGATATTTTTCCTCACTTTTGGGGTATGTTATAATGTTCATAATAGATTAAAAACATTCTGATAAAAGCTTTGAAAATATTTACAGATTTAGAGTGGTAAACTGGTTCAAAAGTGTTGATTGCATTCTCCCACATTTGTTGAAATGTGGGCGTAATCTTGTATTTCAATTAACTAAAAAAAATGAATCCTTGAATTGAATTTCTTAATGCTGTTTAGTTTACACATGTACATGTAAAGCCTTTATACCAAAATGTTTGAAGAAGTGTTTTGGGTATTTTTTCATAATTTCTTTCTGACCAGTACCTCTAAAATGACCATTCAAAGTTGCACATTCAGCTCTATATAAAATAAGAAAACATGCCATATATTTAAACTGTTTAATATTAGCTAGTGCTAAATTATCTTTTTAAAAAGTTTAAAAATCCTGTGACAGAGACTTTCCGACATAGGCTTTACATTAAATCAAAAACACGTACATGTAGTCTTTGATTTGCAAGAAAAGATCTTCAAAAATTCATCTCAGATATTGTTATTAAGATAACTTGTCATAAAATATATTCATATTTTAGAGACAGGTTGATGTAATTGTTAACAAAACGTACTTATCATAAAAACTGTTTTCCAATTCGTTCCAATCTTAGTCGGGGAACAAATGAAAGATAGCTTTTTAGCCGACTTTTAAAAAAGCCATCGGTCGACATCGTGGGGCAGATGTTATGGCGTCTGCTCTAGAGTCGCAAATATGGAATTGCGTTGCGGGTTCGAATCCCATTTAGGGACATGTACATGTAGTCTGGTCCTTAGGATATGTGAAACCTTATGAACCGAGGTCCCGTTTCGCAGTAAGTGCTGACACAAAAAAATTCCCTCACTTGTTCAGTGGCGTACGTGTCGAGTAAATGACCAAAAATTGCAGCTCTGCAACGGCAAGTGGTGGCGTCTCCATAAAAATTCTCGGATCCAGAGAAACGTTAAACACGTATATATGTACAAACAATCAAAGGGCAATTCTTATCAACGGTTTGTCTAGATAAATAATATCATGAAACCTTGATTTTGTGAGAGTGATTATATAATTAAGATTCTAAAATGTTAATTTTTGAAATACTCACTGCCTTGGTAAACGTAGTTATAAGGTGTTCGTAGAGAATCCCAGAAACTTGCTTTCCATTTTCTGCTGCACAAAATTTGCAATACACGACTGATTTTTCTCCGGGTATGTAGGAGCAGGATAAACAAAACCCGCATAAATGATGTCGACATGCCAAGTTTCCATCAAATACAAATTTAACCTGAAAATTTAAAAGGTTGGTGCTTGTGTAAAGTCCAATTTGAATATTTTTACTCATGATGATTTAATAATATTTAGCAATATTAATCAACGTATTTGTGCATTAAAAAGTAGACAATTTAGATAACCTGCATATAACCGACAATAACAGCTTTTTAATACTTTGTTTCTTCATTCATTGAAAAATTGATAATTAATACATGTACAATAATATATAATTTTCAGAATACCCTTGATTTGCATCCATCGACTTCGCATTCAAATTGTCTGTAAGTTTCTCTTAATTTCAAATTCTTGACCTGGGAAAGAGGTTTACTCAAAGACATTTTCCTGAAATAGAATTTTGTTAAAATTATATCTTATTTTTCTTCAGTTCAAATTTAAAATAAACCTTTAGTTTAGGAATAGAAAAAGGAGAAACAACAAATATGAAAGTAGTAAATTAATAAGTTGGAATTGATTTTGAATGACTGAGGCGGATATCTCACTACTGGACGAGAAATGAAGTGATTCAAGGAGTGCTTTTCTTTTTATATCTGAATCATTTATTTCTTACTTTTAAAACTTTTTTATTAAAAAGAAGTATGAATTGTCAGACTGGGGTTCTGGCTAGACGATTCATCTGAGTAAATTAATAAGTTATTTCAAAATTGTAATATAATGTAAATACTGTACAAACTCAACTATTACACCTCATTATTATTGTTCTATTATAACAGGTCGGAGAGAATACTCGAAATCGGGTATTATCCGTGAAATCGCGTATAATACTCGATATTAGGGTATCGTTGAATCCGCGAAATCGGGTATTCCATGCAACTTTCTATAAAAACTAAAGAATAGGGCAACGGCGCATTATGCCAGTTACTGTTACTTGTACGTCAGTATCTTTTGGATTTATTTTTATTAAGCCTAATTCATATATAAGGTTGTCAAATAAGTTTAAAATCACACAACAAACACTGCTGGGGTAACAAAGAGGACACAATGGAGTTATTATTTTTCAATATAATTTCTAAAAACAAATAACTACACTTCGTTTGTCTTTATTTCCCATTAAAGTATTCCATATACTTAATTTTCTAATTGTTCACTGTTCACAAAACGTGAAATTTTAAAGAAATTAAACAACTAACGCCGTGTTATGTATTTTTACTGAAAAATGTATGGTGTCCCTTTCTTGTGAAATATAAATTACTCCTAACATTTAGATAGTACAGTATAAGCGAGTCATAATTGTATATCTCTGCAATAATAGAATACCAACGTTATTATAAAGAAGAAAATAAAATAAGATGAAATAAATACCCACGGGAAAACAGTTTGAAAATAGCTAATTGAAGCTGAGTATCTTTTTTTATGTCAATTTAGCATGAAATTTTTATTTCAAAGATACCGTAAATTTTTTGGTTGCATTTTAATCGATACAAAATATACTATTTTTCCTTTATTTTATGCATTTGTTTGAAAATTGAGAGCGAGAAGTCATATGAACAGAATTTTCGTGTTTTTTTTTTGGGGGGGGGGAGGAGGGGTATAAATAAAAGTCAAATGTGTACATATTTTCATGAAGTTAAAATACATTGAATTTCTCAATATAGATCGAGGTACAGTCATATTGATATATGAATTACAAAGTCATTTTTCACATTTCTGATAGTTTTACGTTTATGAACATGTTAATGAACAATCTGAAATAATGGAGTGTTCAATTGCCTTGGAAACTCTTGTCTTACTTATTGGGTAAAATTCCTCATCGGACATTAAAATTTCATAAAAATCGTAGGCACTTCCTTTCTTTATCTTAGGCGTATGAACCGGGGGGGGGGGGGGGGCTAGGGGGGCCTAGCCTTCCCCATTTTTCCCCCAATATATACTTAGTATAGACATTGAACCTTGTTACATAGGTTAAGCCCCCCCCCTTTCCACAGACACCTCGCAGTATAGGCTAGCTAAAAATGGGTAAAGTATTGGTGTTTGGAGAAAAATTTAGGTACTAAAGTTCGAACCTACCCCCCCCCCCTTCCCTACGATTAAAAATATATGACCGAGTTAACCGACCGTGACATTCAAAGAGAGGTCTCTTAGACACATGTAGAACACAGTCGAGGTTGTTTTGTCAGAGGTGGTCAAGAAGCCTTTAGCACCAACCCCCCCCCCCCCCCCCCCCCGAATTTTGAAGTCGCCAAGAAATGGTAAAATATTGATGACTTACCGTAATTAAACGATCAACAGTTATGTTCTCTCATGAACTGTATTCCTGAAACTATCACTGTCTCTGCTAAAATTTTGAAGACATACATGTATTCTGCAAATATGTTTGAACGGTAAATAAAAAAGAAAAGATTTTCAAAAAAAGAGAAAGAGGGTTCTTCTAGCCGAAATTTTAGACATTTTTTATCATGACATTATTTATACATTCAAAAATAAATTTGATTTTATGCACAAGATGAATGTGGAAGTAATTAATAACGCATAATTAGATACGATAGACAATCCCTTTTTAAGCGGTTAGCTTCGCTAGCCGCTTTATGGCATGTGTCCGATTTTTATCGACACCGGAAACTTCCATAAGGCGCTACCTATCGACAACGGAAACTTCAACAAAGCCTCTACCTAGTACCTATGATTTGTTTCTAACACATATAACATATGTTAAATAAAATCAAGACTATCAAAACAACATAATCTTTCGGTTTTTTAATTTTTTTCTGATTTTGTTTGTCAATGAAATAAATTTATAATTGTTGTATTAAAAAAAAGTTATGCATAGGAGCATTTGGTGTCGAGATTAAATTTCCGTGACATCAGCTGATTGCGATCGGGCCCTGTGACGAAATTCGAAGTCAGCATGAAGTTTAGCTGATAACATTATCAACGCGTTAGATTTAAACTTTAGGAAGAAATGTATAGCGAGAAATATCATATTTGAACCCAATGCTACACGTAAACCAGTAGGCATTTCCGATTTATGTGTTAAATTGAAGCCTGAATCGAACGGGGGGTCAAAATGGCGTTGGACACCTTGTGTATTTATAGAGGGGGTAGAATGTTGCGATATTTGGCTAATTTAGAGACTTACTGATAAAAATGCAGGTGGCTGTGATTAATTATAAGGCACCCCTCATGAACAATAAATATTTGACCGAATTATGCTACTGGGCACAGGGAGGACGGGTTAATTACTGGCTTAAGGGGTTGAAGGTTATTACCGACTGCAAAACATCGGAGAATCTCTCGATCGAGTTTCATTTTCCAAAATATTAAGGCATCCCTTTAATTAACTTAAGTAATACTAGTACGCGAAGAAAGCCTTTATATAAAAATACTGAATACATCTGTAAGTTGTACAGTTATGGATTACTTCCACAATGAAACGTTTGTTTTCTTCTCCTTTTTTCTCAATTGAAATTATTTAAAGATGATAAAAGCTTTGTTTCCAAGGATAAATTCTGTACTCAGTCTAATTATTACAAACGATTTTAATCGATCACATTTTTATTTAAAAGAAAATAATGTGAGCCTGAAAATACTAAAATTAATTTTTAAAAATTGGAGAAGAAATTTTAATCGGCATTCGATCCTTTTCTAAAAATCAGCCGATATAAAATATGCACAAATAAAAGAGGCATGAAAAATCTTGACGATAAGCACAAATTGAAAATTATATCTAATGAATGATTATTTTTGAAAGTTTGCTAAATTCCTATGCAAGGTATAAGTTGTAAAAATACAATTTTAATTTGTCAAATTTGTTAATTATCATTTTGAGCATTTGAGAAGAAATAAAAATTAAAATACATATGCTTATAGACATATTGATAGAAATTCGCATACTTGTTTTTAGTAAAAAAAAAAAACAACAACAAAAAACAAAAACAATGTTTTGCCTATGCGACATATTAAAGAAAGTGACAATGATACCTAGGTAATTCTTGCAATGGACAATTAAACTGTTTGTTATACACTGACTTTTAGTAAACCTTTGAGTTTTTAAAATACTAGTATTGATGGATTAAACAACAACTTGCCTTTTCACGTTTTTTTTTCAATATACAATATTTACAATATTTCTTGAAAAATATTTGCCAAATACTCAGTATATGTTCGTTTATACATATCGTGCAAGACTCTTGTTTTAAATAATTGTCATATACCATTTACTTATTGGAACATGTAATTGTATGAAATGTCAATAATGTACATTTCTTAAAACTTTATTATCTTGTTTACTTGTTTACTTGTCTTTCTTCCTGTGAGAGAAAAAGTTCATAATATTAATAAACAGATGTACTCAGCATCTGTATCAAAATACAGAATGAACAGTGATCGGTCTAAAAAAAAAACGGATCCTTGAAAGTTCCGGTGCCTAGGAGAAGTAAGCATCCCCAATGACAGGTCACACCTGCTGACCTGCAGTGAGCTTACGAAACTGAAGCTCTCTGAAATTAATTAATTCTCTGCTCGTCCATCCGTTTTTCTCAGACTAGCCAGCTAATGATCTATGTACAGTACTCCAAATCAATTAATCTAAAGAAGTTGAATTATCATTTTATTTTCTTTTTGAGTTGTTTGCTATAGTAGCCTTTATAGTTACCTAATTTTAAAAATCAATAGAGCATGAAAGCCAATTAAATTTGCAACACCAACATAATTTTTTTTCGTTTTGTGCACTTTTAGACGCCACCAATGGAGACAATTAGGGAGAAATTTTTGAAATTGAACTTCCTGTCTTTCGAACTGAAAATCTCAGGTTGATATTTTGAAACAAATATTTGTGACATCAGTCTGTGATTTTATTGGTTATACCATTTAGTTAAGTGCAGTGGCTTCCACTTAATCCGATCGCGGTTAAACGAATATTTCGGCTATTCCAATATAATATCAGAGCACAAAACCGTTTCTTATATATTCATTAATAATTTCATCTGATATTCTGATAAGAAAATATTAGAATTTCGTTTCATCTGATACAAAAATTTGGTCCATCGTAGTATTTTTTCCATAATTGTGACCTTGTTCACAACTCTGACTTCCTTAGTGAAGCCTTTGTTTACACTGTCTGACACCTTGAGTACGATAATGAAGGGATTAGTTACGGCTGAACGCACGCAGTCACCTTACCTGTGTCAATAATTGGCACACTAGATTGATATGTTTTGATACAGTTATGATGATCAGCTTGGGTTTAAATTACTTTTTAGTGATGTACTCGATAATTATGATAATTGTTTGCAATTTTTTCCAGTTAGATTTTAATTACTGAACGTATTAGCTTGTGCATTATAATTTGCTGGGACATTAAAATGCATCTAAGTTACAGAACTATTGACTTGAGAATTGTCATAAACGGTATGAAATACATAACTATGTTAAATCAACAAATAAAACAAAACAATTCAATATCTTTTTTAATATTACTGTACCATTTATCCGGGGAAAAATAAATTACGGAATAAAGTCAGACATTTAGTCTTCTTCCGTTTCCAAAATGGCGGCCATCGAAGAAGGATTGTAAACATGTGCCGATTAAAGATGGCAATAACTATTTAAAAAACGATTTTTATAAGTCATTTTATCAAAAAAATGTTATCACATTAAATTAAATCAATTGACATTGGACAAAGATATGCATGCTAACTTTAATATCATCATTCAATGCATTTTTTGTTATTGTACACTGTACATATTCGATGAAAGCATGCTAACCGCTTTTCAGTACTTTCAGTACTTTGATTATACATGGCATCATATCTGGTGTGTGAAATCTGTTTCTGTATAATTTGATTTATTTACAAATTGTTCATGTTTGTCGTGTTGATGGGGAATTATTATAAATTCCCGAATTCTAATACTTTACAATTCTGTTGTGTTGGGAATGAACATTAGGAAGATGCATATACTTTCAACATAAGGTAAAATATAAAGCAAATCGAACGCCTTTTTGTGTGCAGATCATGAAATGTACTGAGCTCCACGGGTATTTGTTGTCCCGAGTGCATTAATCTTGACGCCCAAATTCTTACTTGGCTCGTGATACCTTTAGAGAATATGTGTATCTAGATGAAAGTTAACTTGGCAACATGCGCCATCCCATTCTTTAAGTTTTATTAGGTGATTACACCTCCTATACCCGATTTCGCGGATTCAACGATACCCTAATATCGAGTATTATACGCGATTTCACGGATAATACCCGATTTCGAGTATTCTCTCCGACCTGTTATAAAACTCGGTATCTGATTGACTCTAGATTACACGTGACTGGACATAAAAATGCATATTTCCCAGTCACTGGCATGATTTTCATCATATACTCAACGTTTCCAATTTCTTTTCGTTGAACAAAAACCCCAGAGAGTAGTTGACGTCAAATTATGCTGATTGCTTTATCCAAATGTTAAGCATCCAAGGTTTCTATAACTTTACATTTAAATTAAAAGCAACTTTGAGAGTAATGCCTAATTAGAAAGTTTGTTTGTTTGTTTGTTTGTTTGTTTGTTTTTTTTTTTGGGGGGGGGGGGGGGGGCGGATATGATGAACAATTTATTGCATTGTTTCTCTTGAAACAGTTTTATTTGCGAAGTTGTAGTCTTGTTTCATTTTAATTCTTCCGATTTTGTAACTCTATATTTATTCAATAACTTCGTTTTCTTACTCATTAATTAAGGAATCACTGTCTAGTTTTGTGAGTATGCCAGGGCATCAACAATAGTGTGAAACATGGGATAATTTGCATAACGGGCGAATTCCCATGGGGATCCGGGTTAGAATAGGTCCTCAGTACCCCCTTGCTTGTCGTAAAAGGCGACTAAATGGGACGGTCCTTCGGATGAGACCGTATAAACCGAGGCCCCGTGTCACAGCAGGTGTGGCACGATAAAGATCCCTCCCTGCTCAATGGCCCTGAGTGCCGAGCATAGGCCTAAATTTGCAGCCCTTCACCGGCAATGGTGCCGTCTCCATATCAGTGAAATATTCTGGAGAGGGACGTTAAATAGTATACAATCAATCAATCAATCATAACGGGCGAAGCCCGTTATGCTAAAATTATCCCATGTTTCCCACTATTGTTGATGTTCCTGGCATACTCTCAAAACTAGACAGTGATTCCTTATATTTCCATTTCATTGTGAAATAAAATTGTAGACTTAGACATTAAAAATGTAGACTAATAGATTTAAATTATATGAGGACTTCCAATGCCAATTTCAATAGTCCTCGCACACTGACGTCAAACACAAAGGCAGCCGCACGAGATTTACATGCATATTTGACCTCCTTAGCGTCGGACACAGAGACAGATGCGCACGAGATTTGCATGCATAAATATAAGGCCTCCTTAGCTGCTGACCTATCGACCTGCCTAATTTACATTCCGGCAGAATTATCAAGAAATAAATTCCCACAACTTTTAAACAGTTATCACAGAGAAAAAAATTAGAAATGGAAATATTCTCATTTATTGATAACTTCGTCCTTTGTTTTCTTTTTAATCTTTGTAAACAATGTTTTTGATTGGTTTGAGAAATCGCTACATTTACAAAAAAATGCTATTTTATATCCGTTTTCATTAAATAATTTCTTTTTTTTTTTTAAATTTTATTCGTAATTTGTTTTAAAGTTTCGCTTTTACAATTGGATTTCCTTTGCATTATTTGGCTCTTGTAGCATAAAAAATGAGAATATAAAATGTGACACGTCATACTGTGTATATCCTTTTAGTTATCGTGTACATTTATTTTTGAGACGTTAGTTTACTGTCATCTAATTTTGAAACTAAGACTAGGAATCCTCTAATAACAGTTTTAAATGTTAGATTCCATATATGTGTATAAAAGTGTAATAAAGGATTCTTTTAAACCGGTCCAGTTACTAACATGGACTCCGGGGTTCCCTGGAATACTTCTCAAAAACATAATACACTGTACATTTAAATATTGAATGTCCAATAGACAGCTAAAAAATCGGGGTTAACCTTTTTTGAACATTAGTTAAATTTTATAATCTGATGGAGTAACAGTTGACAATTTGACGTGAATGACAGAGTATCCTAACAGTGTTAATACAAATAAGTGAAACCTTGATTCACTTGCACAGATAATACTTTGATTTAATTGTGCTACATTTTAAATTTAGTATTATTCAATATCTTGATTTTTACATTTTAAAAATATTTGAATGTTTGAATGTAAGTCATTTTTTAACTTTATACGAACCAGTTTTCAAGCAACTATATCTGCATGCTCCACGGAATCCATGTTGTGAATAAAATTCATTTCATCCTGGCGCAGGCTTTTTCCTTGAAATGAAAGAGAAAGTTAAATCAATCATTTTTTGGAAATGAAAGTAGAAATTCCACAAAGCTAACAAGTTTCAATTTAACAGTTTTATACCTATTTAATATGCAGGATATTTTTAACGTACCTAAATTTTATACTATAAATTAATATTGAAAAGTCAATGATAGGGGTACCTGACGCCGTCATGAAATCCGATATCGACTCACAGTGGACCAATAGTAACAACAGAAATAATTTAATTTCATTTAATCTAATTATATATACTTAGAAATTGAAAATGTGATCTTGACTTCATTATTTGTTAATTCGTTAATCTGTTAAAATTCTGGCTCAGCGATCATAGCATTTTTAATGTTGGGAAGTGCTATGGAGAACTCTTTTTTTTCAGAATAAACGACATGATATTTAAACAATATCAATGAGAAAAAAGAATTGTTTTTTTTAACTTTTTTTATGTTATAATTTGTATATATTTCTCCACTGAAAATATTCAAAAAGTACGGAAGCGTATTAGTGCCACTTGGACACTTTACTTTTTTTTTTTTATTTTTACACTTTAATCTGTAAATTTTACACTTTAATCTGTTTAATTCACATGTTCAATTAAACAGCTTCATACATCCCAAGTAACACATTTTAAAGCCAACAAACCATGAATCATGCATGATAAAATTTAATTCTGATTTTTTTATTTAACAATAAATGCAAATAATAAGCACATTAGTATGACTGATACAAGTAAGACTTTCTTAGAATATAAGCGAAGGACATATTAAACAAAAATGCATATATTTTCAGTGACTATGATATTGATACCATCATACGCAAATTTGTTTAGGAATTACCGGCAGCAGTTGAATAAATTTATTTTTTTAGATAACCATTTAATATATTAATAAGTAAAGTATATACATATATAAATAACTAATGTATATGTTTATATTAATATCGCATAAAGAGATTAAATTTTGTACACTTTTGTCTATAAAATTAACACTTTAATCTGTAAAATCTACACTTTAATCTGTAAATTTTAAACTTTATGCTGTGAAATTTACACTTTATGCTGTAAAATTAACACTTTATACTGTAAATATTACATCAACAAAAGACGGAAACGTTTTTTTTTTTAATGATTTATTCAAGTTAATACGTATATATGTATTTCTTTTAAGCAATTGACTACTTAATTCTTGAAGACTTTGTCATAATAATTCATTGTCATTGAAACACATTCTGAATTGGAGCAACCGAACATTTTTGGCTGTAGCTGCTGCATCTAAGATTTCCATTCAGACAAGGAGTGAGGCACGAAAAACAAAATTTAAATTTACATTTGATACAGGTCATCTCTTTACACATGCTTTCGTGCTCAATCAAACTTCGACAGTTTGGGCACATGCGCTTAGAGGGCACTCCTTCGATGTGTGAGTAGTCTATTTTTTTCAGAGGAGCTTCATTTAGGATTCTTTGAAAAGCCTCTAGTTCTGACTTGGCGCAGCTATGATTTGGAAACCATGGTGATTTGCATTCCCAGCAAAAATCGAATTCCTTGCCTTTTGATTTACTGCAAAATGTACAGTTGACGCGCTTGTTGTCTTCCGCCTGTCTCTGACAAAAATTCCCGCAATCTGGGCAACTTGAGGTGGAATCACCTTCTTTGTGAACTGCATTCATTGATATTCGATATTCAAAGAAGATTCTTTCATCTTCTGTCATGTTCGATTTTCGTACGATTTCTTGCATCCTCCACTCCGAATTACAACCTTCTGTTGGACAGCGTATGGTATCCACTATATTTGTCATCAGTTCCCTTTTTGTGAAACCAAAGAGACTGTCAGCAGCTGAAGGAGATAAAATGCTGTTTAACAATAATCAGGTATACAATGATAATCATGCAAACCAACTGAATGAATAATGTAAATGCATGTATGTAAGGACTAAACACGCTGATATATGTATAGCAAAAGAGTACTAATTTTTATTGAGAATAGCTTAAATTGCATTACAAAAAGGAGAATATGGAGATAACGAACATTATTTAATAACAAAGTCCGTAAAACAATACAAAATTTGAGCAGAGCAAACACGGACCTCTGAAACATCAGAGGTGAGATCAGGTACCATTGTCTCATAAACTGCCATTTTTGCATTTTGTCATAAATGCTTACAAATTGCATGTCCACAAGACATTTTCAGTCGCGGTTCATCTTCAGAATCGTCATGTGTGAGCATGTCCGGTTCCGCTGTATTCAGATACGAAGGGAATTGCCTGTCTTCATTTCCGACCATTATTTGTAGTGGGGAGGACAGTCCAGAGATTGGCCTTCCATCCTCATATATGATTCCATCTTCTAAATCGACGATACTGACGGAATAGTGAGTTACCCCAAACTCAGGAGCTATTTTCTTTTTGACATCAAGAATTGATGAGCAAGACTGTAATAGAAAAAGTATGTTGATGCAGAAGAAGTCATATTGAGTTACATTTGTTTTCATGCATACTGTAGCTATTTCAGAAGCAATCGCAATCTTTTCTTTGGTAATTTAAACTTTTTTATATATAACTAACAATAAGGATATTTAAATTGTCTTAAATTAAATCTTACAGGTAAGAGGAAAGAGGCAGAGGCAGAGGATAATCTTTGGTACATCATCTTCGTCAAGCTTGTCAAGCTCGGGACTAAACAGAAACCAGGGAAAATGAAAGTATAATACTCAGAAACAGGAAAATAAAACGAAACTTCATATCCTAGGTTAGATTACATGGTCTTAAAAATAGCTCATCACTTAAACGTGAAAGCTTTTTTTTTAACTTTCACAGCATTCCTGATAATCATACACTTACACTGAAATGAAAAATTAACGCCAAATGTTTCCTACAGAAGGAAATGAATCTTTATCATGGCTAAACAAGATAATCGGATTAGGAATGGATCAACTTCGGCCAAGTTCGGGAAATTCTATTTTTTAATAACACTTACTATAAACAGAGAATTTAAGCTGTCTGCGACTATTCTTTATTTACTAGTATATGGTGTCTCTTATTTTTGTTAAAAAAAAAGAATAACCGTTGTTTAATGTATGTCTTGTGCTCTGTGATAAAAAAAATATATATATAAAATTGATATTGGTACAAGGTTCTGAAAGAGATAATGTAATATTGCAATTTTCAGAAAACCTATGACACTGTATACCTTGTAGATAAAGACATGTACAGCCTAAAGTTTAAATAAACCTAGGAGTTCATTAGAAAAAGAAAGAAGAATTCTGAGAACCTCTATGCAGCAAATTAGATATAGATCGGTGTACTTTGATCGATACAGATTCACATATGCAATCATTTTCAGAAATTTTACCTTGTAACCTGGGACAGTCAATACAGGAAGCACTAAAAATAACTATTGTATTTGAAGAGATTTCAGAAAACTAAATTAAACCTTGACATTCTTTATACCTGACAGAGTTTAAATAACAGTGCATAAAATGTCGATATTATCGTGAATATATTGTCAGCAAAAGGTTTACAATGTTTGCTTTTTTAATGATGGAAAATCATGTTTTTAAATGTAAGGGCGTTGGGCAATTTTACGAATTAAAGAAAATCTTACAAATTGCAGACCCCGCAGAAATAAATTTTATTGCACATAATATAGAAACTTAAGGGAAAAGTTCATTCAATTTTTCTTCATTCGGTTGTTCTCTATTGCTCATTGTTTCGTATGAAAGAATGCCCAAAAAAGTCAATGATTTATTTAAATGCAGTTGCATGTGATAAAAAAGCTTAAAATTATTGATTAAATTATTGAAGCTGGTTAAAATATCCTAGTTTGCTTGCTTAAGGCGAGAAAACTTTTAACAAATATTACTAGGATTTTAAAATAGCCTACATCACAATTCACGATAATTAAATGGAAAACCCTTGAATTACCTGGCATTATTTATAACTACATATATATATTGCTAAAATTGATTTCGGAAAATGAAAGACCAGGACATTGATAAAAACTGGGCTCATTTCTGTTGCTAGATATGAAGCAATGCGCGTTGATGCATGAAGTATATTTAAAAAAAAAAATATTCATAACTGCACCTTGCACTCCGACACCCATTGTTAATATGTTATCTAACGATTATTCCAGTTCTTAAAGTTGAAATTAATAACTGCTCCGTTTTCAGAAAATAAAATCACCTAAAAGGGATTTCATCACCAAACTTCACATAGAATAGGTTACAGAAACGTTTACATATGACATATGTACTGATCTTGTTTTAAAGAAAAAGTAAATAATAAATTCTAGACAATGGGGTTAAGAAATTATGAAATTAAAGATAAAGTAAGTGGTACCCACATGTAACAATGCATTTAGTTTGTTAACATTATACACAGAAATAGAATGTTTTTAAAAGAAAAAAAAACATTTTGATCATGTAATCTTTTGAGTCCCAAACCTCAATGAATCCGAATCATTGACCCCGAGGCCACATAAAATTCAATTTTTAATGAGACATCCTAGTTCATCATAAATCATGCATAAATGATTATTAGTTTATTGGCATAATACACAGGAAGAGAAAAAAATGTCAACTGACTTTGGGACCATATATTTTTATCCCGTGGGGATCCGGGTTAGAATAGGTCCTCAGTACCCCCTTGCCTGTCGTAAAAGGCGACTAAATGGGGCGGTCCTTCGGATGAGACCGTATAAACCGAGGCCCCGTGTCACAGCAGGTGTAGCACAATAAAGATCCCTCCCTGCTCAATGGCCCTGAGTGCCGAGCATAGGCCCAAATTTTCAGCCCTTCACCGGCAATGGTGACGTCTCCATATCAGTGAAATATTCTGGAGAGGGACGTTAAATAGTATACAATCAATCAATTAATCAACCATGTAATTTTAAAAGAGGAACCTTTGCATTTTTTAACTATGCACTTTTGTTTCACATTATACCCAGGAGAGATGATATTTAGAGAAGGATATGGAAATAATGAGCAGTATTCAATATCAAAGTCCATAAAACAATACAAAATAGAAGCATAGGAAACACGGACCTCCGAAACATCAGAGGTGGGATAAGATGCCATGGAGGCGTGAGCATCCCCTGCCGACCGGTCACACCCGCCGTGTGCTCCTTGTCATGATCGTGAAATAACGGAAAAATCCGTCGTCAATTCGGTGTAATGTAAATAATTGACTAACAATACGTATGAAAAACGAACGACAGCATGTGACTCAATGATAAATTGTATTTGCTGACAAGATCATTTTATCGACCATAGAACTTACATGTACGAAACGATTGCTTTAAACGAGACTGCTGATATTCTTGTTTCATCAACTTGCTTGTCAATAATTTACCTCGTTTTAGAAATTGTTCATACGTAGAGCATGCTTTTGCTTATCGAATCAATTGAGATATATACACTCCGAATAATTCAATTTAATTTACATTCACACGAGCCCCTATCTAACAGCAAACAACTGATCCTGGGACAAAGAGCTTCACAATTTTGGTAGAGGGCTTTATTGTTATTTATTCATACCAACAAATTGGCTACATAAAGTCCATGAGTAAAATAGACTCTTAAAGAGTGCAATAATAGATGTGGCTAGCCCTATCAAAGAGGTTTAATGCGGCAGAAGCCATGAACTTAAGATTTTTTTGTTCCGCATCACCTGTAGATGCTATACGCCAAACTTTATTTCAATTAGTTCAGCTCTCTTAGAGAAGAAGCTGATATTGAACAAACTTAAACATGCTAAGCACATCACACATGAAAGGAGAAGCATGAAACAAGATATAACTGAGTCACCTAGTTTTTTTTTTTTTTTTTGTCGTGGAATCATGCTGATAAATGATCTTTACATATTGGCAAATAAATCGTTACATTTGAGTAAATTGCTCTGAATTTGATGTTTGACCTTTGAACTTTATTTACTCTTCATAATCTTCACAATGCATGGATACAATTAACATCTTCAAATCAACTTATACTGTGACAGCATTTTGAACAATTTCGTTCTAAAGCAGATAAAATAACAATGCTTTGTTCTTGAATAATCTAATTTTACACTGTATTCGCACATAGCGATGTTGATCTCTAACACAAACATTTAACCCAAGTCTTGCATGATTTTTTATATACTCAATTTGAACATCAAACGTTTTAGAAGATTAAATTTTGGCGACAATGTCATAATGAGTAGTCAGTATACACAAAAGTTATTTCATTTTGCTAGTGCACTTCGTAAAATAAGATATAAGCATCTTTATGGCTAATAACTTCATCAACACTCGCTGAACATACAGACTCGTCGCTCACATAGAACCAAGAATCTTTGACTTTGCATACTTCAGTCTGTCCTGAATCATCTTGAAATTCATGCCTCTTTCTCAAAAATTCTTCAACATTGCTTTTTAGTTTTTCCAAATCTAGCGGCGATCGTTTGAGATGTTCTTGCCATTTTTCTACGTCATGCATCCGAGTGGTGTTGACATATGCATAATAATGGCCACCACCAAGTGCACCGGAGTGAACAACAACTGCATATAATTCGTAATTCAGACTGTTTGTCGATAGTTCCTAAAAAATATAGTTTAAGCTTAATACATATTCACATTACGTGATTCAAAAATGTAGCATGTATATAACCATTGATTAGTGCAACAATTCATAAAACTAAGTTATAACATACTGTGTTTGCAACTGAACAGAACTTAGCCATGTTGAATATTCGAGGATACTTAAGGCGTTGTGCATTCTTGGTAAGGCGGTTGAAATCATTCTAAAAAAATAATAAAATAAGCTGATGATAACAAAATGTTTATAAATTAAAGACTTATTGAAAGGCACATTGTATCACAAGTAATACACATATCACTTGAAAAGAAGTAACCATCTTGAATCTGTCAATATGTATCACAAGCACAGGAGGTGGCGTGAACACCAACATTCTTCTGTATGCTTTCCCGGTTCCCTCTAAAAGTATTTTTTTAAGGATTTATGCTTTAAAAACTTACTAAGTATTTAATTTAATGAAAAAGGAGATCGATTGTTATTTATCGCTTACTTTCAAATCTGATGTTTTGCGATTAGGTAAAACTCAAAAGTCATTAATAGTTTCTGGGTAGATGTAACACCACATTAATATTATTATATTTTATTCACTGATGAACATCATCACCTATATTGCATACTCGACATGGTAAATCGCTTTCTTCATAGTCTTCTATCTGGGTTAAAACTGCCAAACCCTTTTCAATGTCAAACCTTGGATCCTCAGAAGAAATAGTTTGTAAACCACGATGTGGTAGTTTCTGTTGGATAAAAATTCCTTAAATTCCTTAAATGTTTTCAACAATGATGAGTGGGGATAAAAAAAAATCTTAGAATCTCAACAATGACTAGCACTTACTTTAAAGTTCTGATCTATATTATCTGCTATTGGAATACTTAAAGTTGTAAATTCCTCAAAGTCAACCTCAACCTGAAAATTTAATAGATCGCCGCAATTCATTATGATACAATAGCCTTAGAAAAGCTTAATTTTTTTTAAAATTACAATACGAGTATATTTGTTTGTCTCATTTTTGTTATCTTTATAATAAACTTGTTTCTCAGTAATTATTATGCATACACTGTAAGTATTATTATACATGTACTTACATCATTGCAGGAGTCATAAACATAAATTGTTATGAATATCCCCGTAAATAGATTTTTTAAACTTATTCCATTGACACCAGAATCAACATCTAAAAAAAAATAAGTAAAATGCTAGTAAGTAATGTAAAACAGCAAATCAGTCGGTTTTTAGAATAAAGAGCAATGAAATATATTTTTACTCATTAATACTCGGTAATTTACAAGTATTTAGTATACGATATACCTATTGGTTTGCATGTTCTATCCCCCTAAAACAATATCAAAAGTATGGGTATTACCATTACAATTATTAACAAAACCATACATGTGAAGGAATTATGAATTAAGCTTTAGAATTATTTCTATTAAGATGTTAACAGAATATAACGCTAGATACACATTTACATTTTGAAGTTCATCAAGGATCCCTCCAAGGAGCGTATTTAATAATTCGTAGCTATCTTCTTGTGTTCCACGACCGAATTGATTATTTCTGAAAGCAAAAAACACAAGAAAAGCATTATTATTGCTCTGCAGGAGCAAAATGTATAATTGCTCTTCAATAGAGGTAATGAAAACAGAAAATACAAGTAATACATGTAAATATACAAAGGTATATTTGTTTGAATTTGTACGCACATGTTCCTAACTGCATTCAAAACACTTCTTAATTCCTGAGTATGGTTAACATTCTTTTTCTCAAGTAATTCCAATACACTTTTTGTCAGTTTCAAATTTTGAAAGTTAGGAGCTGACACCTTGAAAGAAAATTAAAGGCAATGCACAGAAAATTAGGTTAAAATAGGAAAATTTATCATATTAAAATTGTGTTTGTAAGCTGCGATTCTTAATTGAGGCACGGCAGAGCGGGGCGTCTCTCAAGTTTATAAATCAAGACTATTTTCAACATCGATTGTAATGTAAATTACGTCATTTCTTTCAGAGATACAAGGTGATATGTAACGATATGTAACACATCACCCAACTCACAAGCGTGTTGATATGTCCCCTTCAACTCAGAAGCGAGATGATAACAAAAATATATTAGAAATGAATAAGCGATTTGGAGAATTCTTACCTTCAATAATGAAAGTGCGTCTTCAAAGAACTTGGTAAAGTACAACGCCTATGAGAAAAATTTCAATTATTATTAAATTCTATGGAAATTTTGCTTAAATTTGTATATAAATAATGATAAGTTTATATTATATCAAAGTCGTTAATTGCTTGAGATTCGTCAATATTTCTTACTTGTAATGATGAGTTGAAAAAACAAGTGTTGCCAAGATTTTTATTTCCCTGTAAAATAAAATCAAATCGTTTTAGATAGCAACTAGAAGATGTATTGAGGAATGATATTATAGAATGATTACATAGGATGAGGATTTTTATATATAAATTTAACTGGAAAAAATTAAACATTTTAAGTTTAGCAAAGGTAGATAACAGATCCCTGGACTTTCCTTGTAATCACTGTGAAACAGTATTCCATTAAAAAATAAGCAGATGTACTTGTGAATGTTAAACTTATTGACTTCACTTACTATTGGAGGATCAAATTCAAATAATTTAGATTCTTCAACCTAAAAATAAAATGATGAAAATGAGTTAATTTGAATTTTACATAGTACTATAAGTGCATAATTATACAGGTTTTGAATATAATTCAAAGAGCAGGACAGTAAAACCAAGCACTTTACCAATGCCAATTGAAATTACAGAAAATCTTCTTTTACCCTTATCTGTTTCGCACCGTCTTGATTTTCGACGTCGATTGATCTCTTTGTTGCTTTTGATTTTTTCTAAAAAAATATTTTAAAAATTAATGTATATATATATAGTACTTTTTCACATTTCGTATCACATGTATAGAGATATGACATGCATTATTTATACCTTTTGTTTCTTTTTTCGTCCTCCTAATTTTTCATCAGCAACGAATGTAGGATCTTGATGTGATGGTCCACGCTAATAAAAAAGAAAAATATGATTGCAAAAAACAAAATTAAAAGTTGTGCATCCCAAAAAATAATCTAATCAGATTTGATATAATTTACAATACAAAATGTATATTCATCTGTTTAATTTTTTATTTTTTTATAATAGATAAATGATGTAATATCTATTGTTATACTGGAGTCTACAATGTTGGAGATATTAGTAAAATGAACCAAGTTACCGACACACTTAAAAAAAAAATGATATGGAAATCATCAGTAGTGCCCTAGTGGAAAAACAAAAGTCTTACATATATCTTTCATCATGATCAATAGAAAAGCGTGACAAATTCCTTGGAAGAAATTTAACAGATATGCATTATAGCCTATTATACGTAGAACATAGAGATAAGTTATATTAACCTCATCAGATTGTATGCACTTGTCTGATACAGCATAATCAACCCCTACACATTTGTCTACAAATTCGGGACAGGTTGTTTGTAAAGCTTTCTGAAAAAATGCATTCATGAAGCGTAAGAATATATGAAAATAAATTGCAATATACAATAAAATATACCTTCTTATACAGTGTATTAAATAACAATTTTTGTAAGATACTTTATTGTTCAAAATCATACTTTATTGCGTAACTTTACAGACTTATTTTTTGTTAATCTAACAACAATATTGCATATTATAATTTGACATTTACTTCTTCTGTAAAAATTAATTTCTTATTCCTTGTTCTTTGTCTTTTTTCAGCTTCAGCTGCAGTTGTGTCAGGATCATATTGCTAAAACAAGTAAATTCGTGCTCATAGAATGCAAAATCTTTCATTTAACATTTTCTCCAAAATTATATTTTTCTTATTTATGCAGCAGATGAAGCTCTTTGTTTAGTTCAGGTAGTTGTTAAGATTACGTGCCTTGTCTGTGTTCAGTTTAGCTCTGTCGCTTTGGCCCATATCCACTAAGGGAATCTATATTTTTATTAGTATAAGTTCATTAGTATGATCATCAAATCACTCTAATATTTTATTCGATAAACATTACACTTGAATTTGATCTTTTGCTACCCACCATATACGTATCGTAATTACGTTAAATTAATGTAGTATTTTGTACCATAATATCTCATTTACTTTCTCAATCCTTTCAAAAATAAAAAGAATATATTCTTTAAACCACATGACATATATTCTCATGTAAAAAATCATATAACAACTAAAGCAGTATTCATATAACGAAAATGAATAAGTTTGATCTCAAAGTTAATCATTTTTCATTCAAATTTTCACAAAGCTAGGATTTAAAGTAATCTTGTCTTGCTAATTCATTTGATAAGAAAATTATGAAATATTTAAATTAGCAAAAATTGGGTTGTTATACTTATTACAGTAAAACGCGTTTAGTAAGAACATGGATATTGCGAATTCACGGATTTGTTCTTCCACAAACGAGGTCAAGAGAAAGACAGGCATACTTAATAATTATGTTTTTGTCATTTCGGATATTCATCGGTTTAGATTAAATACAATCTCTTCAAATGTTATAACGAAAACCTATGAGAAAACTAATTGATTGATAAGTCAACAGCAATGTATTTTCCCTTCAAAAAATAGTTAAATATGGTAAACTAGTAAGCAACTAGGTTAATCTTCTTGTAAAGAACGTTTTAGACTGAAAGCACTTTCAAACAGTATCAATATTAAAGTTTTAGTGATTTTGTTACATATTTGCATCTACAAATTTATGTGAATGATTAACATATAAAAACAAAACATTTACACCCACACACACCCTCAAACGAACAAAACGTGGAAAAATTTGAAAGAAAAACATTTTTGTACTCACCTGTGCATCTTCGAGTCTGCCTTGAAACTGCTTGCCAGAAACGAAAAATGAAAGCAGTCTTTTTATTTTGAGAAAAAAAATCACATTTGATTTATTCGTTAAAGCATGTCAAATTAATTTTTAATTGAATACTAGTATTTCACATTATTTATTTAAAGAATAAAATATTTTTTACCGAAAGTACTGTACTTTATATTGCAGCTTTTGCGGGAAAAATGTTTTGATAGATAATTTACTGACAAAATGACAATTTTCTACTTTATACTTTAATGCTATAAAAAAAACATCCATGCAATAACAGTAGGAGTGAATTGAATATAGTATCATTGAGATATGCCCATAAATATAAGTGTTTTGTTTGATTAAACAATGCCTGTAGACACAAGTTCTAACTTATCTACTGGTAGTCAGCAATTGTTGAAAGGTGTGGATGTCACTTAAAGATAATATAAAGTATTGATTTACCCTTAAGGTATGCTTCACATTTTCTTTGGATTGATTCTACAATGATAAAACAGATGCTTAAATTATCTTCTTGGACGAAATTATTTTTTTATGAAATTTTTATTTAGTGACATTTTAGTTACTTTTTCTTTAAAAAGAATGAATTCCTACAGATAATTTTGTTACATTTATTATGAATTACTAACGATGAACATGTTTGAAATTCTAAATCATCTTGTAGAAGTACATACCCCGATCTTTATATCTCCTTTTGCCTCTATATCGTTTTCTTTCTGCAAAACACGTTTTAGTTCTGGCAAGTTTGAAAGATTTTGAAAATACATAAGTTAAGCAAAAAGATTTGTCATGGTTTAATTAAAATGAAGTTAACCCAGCCATGCAAATCCTAGCTGAAACGTTACAAATTTTTGTAATGAAAAAAAAGTATGTTACAGTTATCGATTTCCACTTCCTTTTCCAATACGAGTGAATACAAAGTAGACAAATAGATAGTAGAACTGTAACTGGAATCTGCAAATAGCGAAGAAAGCTTTAAATAAAAGAATAACAAATAGGGACATTAAAGGTTTCGAGATGAGAGCAATGTATTTCCATAAAAGACAGTATCGCACTACATATACCTTTAATCGAATATAAATATTGAAATGATAAAGTTTATGTATACAGAAAAAAAAGATTATAGTATAAAAGTGATAGTTTTCTTTATTGAAAATTCTGGAAACAGCTTACCCCCTCTCTTTCTCTGTATGTTATTAATACGATCTATATGTGTTTTTCTGAATGTATATAATCATATATAATCCAAATATGATATGTGAACTATTTTCATACTTACAAATACACATAGTAGAATTATGCTTAGCGTTTCCATTTTCTTCCTACAAAGGAAGTGTTCATGAAAAGACTTCCTTAAAAATTTAAGTTAATGTCCATGATTGTCGACAAATATTATAGGTTTTTCTGTTTCTGAAAACAAAAATACCAAGAAAGATAAGTGAAAATGAAACTAGAATTAATATTATATGCATTTTAAGAGATATTCTAATTTTGTATTCGATGTTTTTTTTGTGCTTGCAAAATTTAAAAATAATGACTTGTTAGTGCTTTCTTTAATATAGAATATATTATGAACCATTAATTATTTTATTGATTTGTTTCAAAAGACCTACAAAATTTTCGTAAACCAGGTTATTGATTTTTATTGTCTTTAATAACTTTTGTAGGTATAAATAAATGTAGTTTTAAAGATAAATATCATGTATAAACAGATGATTTACCTTTGAATATATTCCAGTCACTTCATTCAAATTAAAAATGAAACTAAAACATGGATTCTTCGTTTTAGTACTTTCTCTTTAGCTAGCGTTTTCAAAAAAAAAATGATCTTCCTATTGTCATGTTTAAAGTAAATAAGAATAAACTTAAAGCATTTATTTGCTTTTTTATCAAGAATATGGAATTGAAAGGAATGTATTTTGTTTGGGACGGGGAATGGGGGAGTTCATGAATATGTCCATAATTATATATTTATCTGTCTTTGCGATTTGACAAAGAAGAATCGAAGGTCATGTATAAATATAAATTGACAAAACTCACTCTCAGAATTTATTTTCAAGTGATAGGTCAAAGTTTTTGAGAGTCTAAAACTATAAAACATGTACTATACATTGAAATGGGGAAAAAATGAACACTGTAGTAAATTGATTACGTTAGATACTTTTTTTCGTCTTTGGAACGAATTATTTCAAGCTAATCTGTAAGTCAAGTACTGTCGAAAACGTTAAATTCAATGATAATTTCAGACACCGTCGCTGCTCATATTTACTTGTTTTCTGATTTTCTACACGAAACAAAACTTCACAATACTTGATAAAGGGATCTATTGAAGTAATTCTCGTAGTGAGGTATTTTATTCAATTTAAATTGAATATTCATGTAGACATAAGGTAATCATATCAAATTATTTAGTATATGCTTATCGTTGAAAAAAAAATCTTCATACTATTATGTGTCTTTAAATACAATATGCATAAATTAAATTTCATCATCATACTTAATCATTATATAGCTTACATAGCTTAACCATAAATTTGCATTCATTAAATAATGATATAAAATTAGTGTAAAATCTTTTTGTTATCATTTATTTTTTTAATCATTTCTATCAGAATATGCATTATCGAAAAGATCATTCAAGTTTTGCGTTGATCGGATTTATCGTAAAGACTGTTCACAAGTTTTGTGTAAATCAATGCCTATACTTTTTTGCTTTTATCAGGATTTGTTTATCTAATTTTTATTGTTGCATGCATAGAATCGTATAAAAATTCTTACAATAAACATCGTGTCTAGGTAATCGTCGTAGGAATTGTATCGAATTTTACAATGAAAAGATTGGAGATGAAGAAACATTTACAAGCTCAAAGTCCACAATATCATTCATTGTCATTAAATGAATGACTGATCTGCACACTTTTTAAAAAAAAAAAGGACGAAACACGTGAAATCTGTTTTATTCAATGCTCATATATAAAAATTAATGCATAAATTAAAAATATAATGAAAAGCAAATGAAAAAAAATAATTATTTTTATTTGTTGATATAGGTTGCATCTTAATTTTTCATTTTAGAAATTACGATTATCTATTATTGAATAAGAAATTAATATCTTTCACAAGTTGTTTGAAATGAATTTATTTTAATCAAAAGAATACTCCATTGTTGATTGGATGGGTGCTACAATACATCGACCATCGAACTCGCCACAGGGGAGCTTTCCATCCCTGGCGATTTGCAAACACGCGAAGCAGAACTCAGTTTTACAAAACGTACACAGCATAGATTTACAGGCTTGATCATGCTGCAGCAAAGTTTTGCACTTCGGACAAAGACGTTTAGAAGGTACACCACACATGTTTGAATAGTCGAGGGTAATTTTTGGACAATGTCGCAATTGTCTGGAAATTTCCTCATTGTTGCCATGCTCGTTCGATACGACACATTCATGATTTGGTAGCCACTGTTCCATGCAAAGCCAGCAAAATTTATATGTGTAATATAAATCATTTGAACATTTCAAGCACTTAGCATGAGATTGATAAGTTATTTTCTCACAATACGAGCTACACCTAGGACATATCTTTATATCATTATGCCGTCTATTCAAGTAGTTAAAGGAAAGCTTTGCACTGAAAAATATGTGTTCGTCAACAGTAAGCATACATTTTGTCAAGATATCTTGATTATCCCAAATCTGATTGCAAATACCGAAATCTGTTTTAGCCGGGCACCTTAGAATGTGTTCGTTTTGAAGAATCTTCTCACGTACAAATCCGTGCAAATTGTCTGGTGCTAAAAAAACAAAACAAAAATGGATATACTGAGCTGCGAAGAAAAACCTGTAAATTTTATTCCTATATTGTATGTATAAGAAAATCTACAATCTTTTTGAATAAATGGAGTGATAAAAATGATTTTATAGGTCTGAAATTACATGATCTCATACTATTGTATCACAATCTGATAAAGTATATTCACTTCTGTTAAAGATTAAGACTACACATCAGTCATTACTTATTGCATGGCCACAGGAGAGTTCCAGTCTGGGATCTGATTCATATTCCCAGATTATGTCGGGTTTTGTTGTTGTTGGACATCCAGAAATAGCGCGACTTTCTGCCCACACCATGACGCAGAAGGGATTGTGCAGTACATCGGTTGTTGTTTCTGGATCATATACAAAGAAGTTCTCGATGTTTACAATATCTATCAGCCAATATTCTGCGCCCAAAATAGATGCCACCGACTGCCTCACTTCTCCAATGGTTTTACCCTATAAGAAAAGCTATTGAATAAATAATGTATTTGAGTGAAACTTCTGTGCCAGAGTACAAAATGTTGCGCTTCTGCAAAATTTTGCATTACCGCATGTAAGTTTCTACATGTATATTCCGAGGGCAAATGTTTGCTTATGGAAAACAGTTTTTACAGTGGCAAAATTTCATGAATGTTTTTAGTCAAGGTCTTGCAAACTATAATTAAAATGAAACAAAGTTTTCCCCTTTTCCATGTAAAGGACACTCTTTGTACATATTCAAAAACGAAAATTTTGTTTGTTTCATTTTCGTTTAATATTGGGATGATGCGATTGCAGTTTTTTTTTTCAAAATATATCTTCCTCTTATATGCGAGAATAAGTTTTCAGTAGCCAAATAAGATTTTAATTATATTCTAATTAAGTACAAGTTGAAATTTAAAGTATGATCTGCAGAAGTATTTTCTCTCTCTCTCTGTCTCTCTCTCTCTCTCTCTCTCTCTCTCGACAGTGTTAGCCTTCTGTTGAATCGACATGCCTCATTTAAACTCTAACGAGATTGAATTTGTCGATTTTATTTGGAAAATAATAAGCATTACTCCATAAAAATAATCATATAGCCCAGAAATAAATACCATTATACCTACCTTATTAATACGGTACAGATGGTCAGAAGATAAAGTTTTAAACGTAATATTTTCCTCTTCTGAAATCATAATTTGTTTTGCAAACGACAATAACTGAAAAGTGTGATGGGTATATCTATATTGATTCAATATACAAACATGTCAGCCACTGGGTTTATGGTATTCACGGTAGGAAGATTTCATGGAAAGAGAAACGAAAGTAAAAATTGAATCCAGTTTCTGAAAATAAGACTGTCCATAGTATTAATTATAGAACACATTTACTCTATATATAGTTTGGGATAATCTCAGTTACGTGTTTTCTTTATTTAGCCCAACAGTATACTGAGAATTCTATTTTCACTTTTCATTTTTGTAGTTTACTGTGTAGAGTAAAACAGCAATTAAGAATGTCTCTGACAATTTTTGTCAAGATGTCAACAAGAAATAAATCTGAAACTATCACTGTTCAGAAGGTATGTAATCAATAAAGTAAAATATTTATAATGATATGACAGTCGAAGATATCTCAAATTACATTAAAGTTAAATTAATAATAATTATCATTTTAGACTGACGAATTTCTCAGAATATTTGAGACACTAGCTGGAAGGGTAGGCATCGAGCTACAACATATTCGGTTGACATTTAGTGGGAAGGAATACAGACATGACCAACCAGAAGCTCGCAAAAGAATAGAAGATATCGGAATTAAAGACCGTTCTACTCTGTTCATGGTGTCGAGATTACCAGGAGGATATATGTGATTATAAACTCCATTTTGTGGAATCTGATAAAACTTTTAAGTATTAACATGTCTTGGTTACAAAAAAGTCGAAAAACATTTTGTGTTGATAATTGAATTTGTAATCCATTTCTTTTATCATCATCGAAATGGACTAAGAAAAACATATGTGCACCTCTCTGCAAAAATATTCGTAGATATTTATATTTTCATATGTGTGCAGAAATATGTACGAATATCAATCTGTCAGAAATTAAACGAGAAAAATAAAATAATTGCATATACATGCATTGTGAAGAGGTACGTCAATTATGATGAGTTGTATACAACTGGGTGATTTTTAAGTTATATAAATGATAGGTGAATACTGAAATAAATACAGGTATATCTCAAACACACATACACACACACAAAACTGAAATTATGAAACGATAGTTGATTTATAAGAGGAAACATTTCATCAGGCTTAAAATTTTGAAATTCTTCGAAAACAAATATAAAGTACTCATTTGTGGGTACATAGGTACATGTATTTAGCTTAAATATGTATATTGGTATTCTGATGTCATCAACTGTCTCATCGTATTTGTTTGAAGAATCTTCCCACAATAAAATTTAGTACCATTTTTTTCTTTGATATTCTAAAAGAGCGAATCTTAAGAAAAATTTAAAGGGGAATATGTTGATTGAACTTAAGATTATGGAGTTTGCAAGAAAATCAAGTGAACATAAAGAATTTGCTTTTCTATGCATTTACATTTTGGGAAAGAATTGTCTCAACGTAATACTTGTGTTTAAAAATAAACCTTCTTGGACAATTCATTGTAGATTTGTCAAGCCCATTAATATCTGTAAAGAGTGAAGCTTGTTCTTTTTTCCATATAAGAGTGTTTTATTTGGATAAAAAGGGTCCATAATATTTGTTTTCTATTGATATTAGAATGACGTAAAGCAATGATACACTGTTAACAAAACTTATAATTGTTCACTCTAAAAAATGAATTTATTTAAACACTACATGATAGAATTGTATGATATTTTTTATAACAAATGATTTTTCTCAACAATTGTTAAAAGAAAATCAATTTTCACCGATGAAAACAAATGTACCGTGCAGAAGCTTCAGAATAATAATATGTACTTTGCAGCTCAGGTTTTGTGTAATAAGCATCTTTTTGTCATATTCATCGAAAAGTTTTTGCATTTTGAATTTGAATGCTTTGGATAAAATTTATCCGAACCGGAAGTGATCGGAATCTTCGTTTGAGGCCAAGGTTCCACGTCACAATCAGGTTAAAAGATTGTCACATTGTACTGAAACAGTTTTAGAAATGTTAAATCAACTTCAATGATAAGAAAACGATAAGAAATTGGTGCTCACGACCGTCTGATACCATCTCCAACAGTCTGAATCATCCTCAAAAAGGTATACGTACGTGCTAAATGCCCAAGGATATTGAGTAAAAGGCAACCGTTTGATGATGCACTGCCAAATCCTAGGATCAGAATTCATTGAACACATTTGGGATTTTTAATATGGAATATCAAGGCACACCTCCCTCCATACAATTAAAACGGTTTAGAAAGATTCATGCAGTATGTGTGGCTGTAAATTGGTCAATCTTCTTTTCAGGGGTACATGGTATCCATTAGAAAAGGACGTCATGCAGTGGTGGTCTTACTCCATAGAAATTACTTTGTGTGCATTTTCATTTTTTGAGGGTACATCGTGTCCTTGGCACTTTGCTTAAAATTCTGAAGAGACACTTACATGAAATTAAAGCAACTTCGAAATGAAATTAGTATCATTACCGGTATTCATGAATTAAAGAAATTATCTATTGTAGGCATATGTTCATAAACACTTAAAAATGTCAGATGAACACTTGTAAGTTTGGTTCAGAGTATACTAAGACAAGTATTAAGGAATTATTCATAATAGATGTTTTGTAATAAATCTTTATTTGGTTCAGCTCTGATTTCAGTACGGAGTTCATGACTAATGTTATTTGTTACATTTAACAAAACAAAGTTGTAAGGACTAAACATTGCAAGGACCAAGGCTGATGATTTTTTAAATATCCACTACCATTGGCAGAGTTTAAATACCAATTCTAAATCAAGTGTGCTTTTGATAGGTAATTTTAATGTTTTCTAAGTAGTATAGTCTACTTTCGCTTTCGCTCTCACTGTTCGTAGAAAAGTTCTATACCACTTGCTATTCACAAATAGAGGTAAGGTACTTAATTTATGTAAATAAAAGATATGATATGATATTAACTTTTTTTTAAAAAAAGAAAAGAGATCTTTTCTGATAACTACCGTAAAACAAAGAAATCAAGTGACTAAAAACACATATATGCTATACACATATGCTGCTTAGCAACGTTAATGTGAATATTTAGATTCCATTTTTTTTCAAAACTCAAAAGAGAAAAACAGTTATTTATATCAAATACAATAGTATATGATGTATATCTCTTCACATGAATTATGACAATTTCATTTTTCATTTTTTATAGGTTCGTAGAATTAACCAAGATGTCAAATGAAAGGTAGAACTATTATACATTAATGTGTTTATTTTTTAAATTCTTTTGTTAAGAAAGACGGAAATTGTACCTAAAAGACTAGGTTATTGAAAAATATTGGATAAATCAAAGTAATCCCTATAGCTGCTTAGCCAACTTTGAACAATTAATTTCCTTAACAAATCAGCGTATGTGAAGTTAAAGAAATATGTGTTAAACATTTTATTTATTTGAACATAGTTCTAGAGATCTTTCAGATAATTTTTTCGGGTCATGATTTCCTTTAATTTGCCAAATGTAATAGTTTACATTTGGTAGATAAATCTGTTTTATAAATTGTTTTATTGTTAACTAGCTTTTTATTCAAAACACAAGTTAAAGATTTCATGTCAATGACAAGATCAAGCAATGATGTTTATTTGAGTTTGAGAAGTTGAAGTCTATGATCAATATTTCGTAATATAAAAGGTGTCATTTAGATAAAATTTTAATAATCATCTCCAGACCTCCGAAGTACCGTCGAGGTTTACAGATTCGTCAACAGTTTCAAAGGTTACATTTAAATGGTAGGAAACCAATTTTTCTATTCATTTTCAAAATACTAGGGGAAAAAATCAAAATTAAAATTTTTTTTTTGATAAACTAGGCTTCAAATAATATAACTGTTGAACGTCAAATTTACCTTAAATTAATGATGCTGTAAAATATGTTTTTACTGATACATTTCTTTTTATTTAAGATATTGACACAACCCTAAAGGTAAAGAAAAAAAAAACCTTCATTGCTTTTGGACCTAAAAAGGAATAAGTATATATACTTAGTCGTTCTTTTAGGTTATATATGCATGTATATTGTTGTAGATAGGCATCGATCAGGGTAGTAAAAGTGCAAATCATAGTACTGACTATTCAAACCAATCCAAGAGAGATATAAAAAATGAACAAGTATTTTTATTCAGCATTATATCAGGGACAAACTTGCGTATACATTGGAAGTTGAAATAAATGAGACCCCTTGTTCTTGTAACTACTCTTTTGTTCAGGAACGTACAACAAAAATATCAAACGGAAAGCAAGATATAAAGAAGCCATGCCACGAGGGTACTTCTTTTCTTCCAAATGTATACAGCACTGACAGAGATTTCCGGACATACAGTCGACAGGTAATATGAAAATTTACCAGTAAATTGACTTTTAATTTTGATCTGTCGTTCACTAAATTCTAAGCTATGTCAAATTATGGAAAGCGAACGCTTGATTTCCTCACAGTAATGTTTAACATTATTTTTTTCAAACAAAATAGTGGGTTAATAATAGAAGACAAAACTATGAAACAAGTTCCATTAAGAAAGAAGATACAACAGTTTATCAAGCAAATCAGACCCAAGTAGAACGACAGAACACCAAAGAAGAAACGATCCATGTATGTGTTATTTTTCAAGATATATTTACAGATCTTAAATATTTCTTAACAAATGAAACGTTTATAAAGATGATTTTCACGATTTCACGAAAGAAGATATTTTATATGAAGAGAAACATTACAACTCTACGGAAGCCCATTAGTGCCAACCTGTATATATAAAGGAAAAGCAATATATAAAAGCAAACCTAGATATATAAAGGAAATGCGATATATATAAACAGAATTTGGATATATATAAAGGAAATTCTATATATATAAACAAAACTTGGATATATATAAAGAAAATGCAATATATATAAACTAACTTGGATATATGTAAAAGAAATGCGATATTTATAACAAAACCTCGATATATATAAAGAGAAATGCGAAATATATAAACAAAACTTCGATATATATAAAGAGAATTGCGATATATATAAAGAGAAAATTTTCCACTGCGTGACCTGTAGCGCTCGGCTGTCCATCAATATCTTATACAGATTAACTCCTGGCAGGGGGAAATCAG